AACATTTTAAACTTAAAAGTGGGTTTAGACTTTGAAAGCTCCATCCACATTTAAAAATTGAGTTTCCATGTTTTAAGAGGCTGAGCATATCAGAGGTGCATGTCTAAGAATAAAGATTAGGACTGTCTATAATGCAATACCCCCCTTGCCTACTGGACTACTGACTTTATCCTCCTCTGAGCAAGAGAGGAAGAAAACTTAAAATGAAAAGTTCCTAGGATCCATGGGGGTTTTCAGAACCCAACTCCTGCTTGTCTATTACAGGTAGCATGGCAAGAAAGTTGCCCTTGGAGAACAGGTGGCAAAGAGTCAGTGGTGGGGGTGGAGAGAGCACACAGTGTTTTAAATGATTTCTGAAATGGCTTTGGCTCCATCTGAGTTCTTCATAGTCTGTCATTTTAGTTAAATTCCCAGTTGCAAAAAAAGCTAATGGATGAATGTCATTGGTGGCCGAGGGTCTTATAATATGGATAAAGAATCAAAGTTCAAGGTGTAGGAAGGAGGTAACATCATTGTTTTTTTTACTAAATAAAGGGTTCTCTTGTTTTCCTGATCCTGGTATGTGTCAAGGAAATAATTACAGATAATTTGTTTACAATTGCTCAGATTTGTTGACAATCTCTAAACCTGCTGGTAACTGATTTAAAACTGATCTGGAAGAGTATGCATTATAAACAGGATGTTTTCTCCTTTCTGATCAGATTAAGGTTTAAGCAATTATAGCAGTTATTTTTAATCTTTCTAACCATGTCTATTAATATTGAGTGTTCTTTTTGGAGTAGATATGCTGGGTTTAAATCTGTGCTGGAAAATACATGGAATGTCAATGCACGGGAGCAGAAGAAGCCAAAGAAAAATCAATGAGAGGGAAAACAGAAAAATGAATGTTTCATCAGTAGTTTTTTCCCCCTTTATTTTCTAGGACTTGCTCCTGAAGCTAATAAGTTAGTAAAGGCCCTGAAAAAAATGCCGATGCTGCATGATGAGGTATATGCGAAAGAAAACAAACACTGTGATTGCCCCAAGTTTCCTGATAACACGTTGGTGCTTCCGTAAGTAACTGAAAAAACATGTCTCCCCACTCATTTTGAGAAATTTTTGTAAAGTGCTCTGAAGTCTTAACATGAAGACTCCAATGTTCTTCTTGTGAAATTAATTTAACATAATTTAAAATAAGATAACTTATTTTATGAGTGCTAAATTGTTATGCCTTGCTGGGTCATTAATCATGACCTTTTTAACTCGTAGAAGGCAAAGTAATACACTTCTTGATCAAATTGTTGAGACAGTCTAAAATAAGTAATTATTTGGTAAATTCTGGGATTTCAAGTAGATAATCCTCTGGATATGAATGTTTTTAATAGCCAAGTTGTTCTTAGGCTTTTTCTTGGCCAGAGGGGAATATCAAGAGAGAATGTGTGGAAAATAAAATCTGTTCCGGTACCTGTCTTAGCTAGTGGAGTTACCTTTCAGCCATGTTCTAACAGCTGATGTGTTAAGACCACAAGATAAATCACTGTAGGGTTAGCAAAAATATTTATATTACATTACTTTAAAATCAGAATGCCAAACACATTAGTTAACCATAGTATGTACTTATTTTGATCTACATAGTGCCTAATACAATCTCTACTAGTTGCCAAACACAATTATGTTACAAAATAATTACCAAAAACCTAAGAAACACTCTTCAAATCAATCATTTCACAGTGAATGTATGTCATGAAGCTTAAACCTTTCTCCCCAAATATACACTTTATCTATCCATGGGTGCTTATTTGCCATGGTACTATCACATAAATAAACGGTGGCTACTGTGAATACTGCATAGAGCACTATGTGAATTATCTCCAATATATGTCTGAAGAAGTAGCAGCAGCAGCTAATTAATGCAGCTTTGAACTGGCTTCATGCTTTAATTCTACAGTCCCTGCTGCTGTTTAGAATCCCTAAAAGCCAATTGTCTCTTTCTGCCCCAAACTTATGCAACATCATGGTAATTAGATATGGGCTTTATAATTAATCTGCATGGCTTTTTAACTGTTGGGCAATGATTAACAGGCTTATAGGTTTTATTTAGAGGACCATATGCTAATTTGATGTCTTCCCCAGCTGTGACGAATGACTGAATCCCTGTAAACATGTTACATTACACATAGATTGCAGGAGTATATTTTACAAAATATTTGAAAAGTTAAATAGAATTATGGCTGTTTTGCTATAAGGAGTGGCGATTGAGGTTGATTATGGAAAATCATCTCTTTGAGGGGAAAATTAGGAGACACATAAGCCAAGCAATAAAGTAAATTTTTTTAGTTCAAACCTCAATAAATTGAAGGACTTAAAATAAAGAAATTAGGACAAAGGAAAGTCCAAAGGGGACAATACTAACATGAGGTTATGATATACTTGATCTTGTTAAATATTTTGGTTATTTTAAGAAAAATATGTTTTCTTACTGATAGATGACTTTTTATTTAAGTGCTTATAATTGAATAATTTGTTAAAGACATTTTTAAAGGAATTGAAAGATAGTGGAACTCTACTGATGTGCCCTTTTTGTGTCCTAAGTGCATTTCATGTGAAGTGTACAGACAGGGAAAAAACAAACGTATAAATACAAAAAGTTTAAAAAATATGTTTCAGGTGAAGGACTGTCAAATACAAATCTTGTTTGTTCTTTAGTATTATTGATCACTATTTCACGAAGGTTAGTGTGGCAAAATTTTGTTTGCCATTGTAGTTTTTATATTTCAATGATTGCTTAGTGATATTTTAACTAGACAATTGAGAAATATTGTAAGTTTTGGGGGAAGAAAATGGGAACATTGAGTGGACTTTGTAGATCAGTCTGATAACTCTAATGTAATGAAATAGAACATTCTGTTGACTTAAGGATTTGTTTTTGTGGAGGTGTTTCCACCACTAGTAAAAGAGTTGACTGACCGTACTGTCATATGTCTCCTTTTTAAACAGCACTGGCGCAGAGGATCTCTTTTCACTACTGTTTCTTGACTTCCTTCGCAGTTGTTTTAAAACCTTGCTCTCATACAGAGTGTTTGTGTACATAATGGTTAACATTAACAAGGCAAAATGCTGTATAAAACCTACATTTCTTAGTTACAGTATGTCAGTTATGTAAGATTGAAAACAGAAAGTTTGTTTGAACGTTCACACTATAAACTATTCAAATATGCAGACCCACTTCTGCTATGATACCTATAAGAAATTACCCAATTAATGATGGATTTATGGCAGCTGGGGATAATTGACTCCTGTTTTGGCATATTTTCTGTTGTTTTATAAATAGTGTATATAAGAAATGTATAAATCTGATTTTTCTTCTCTCCCACCATTTGTATGTTTCTTGTAAGCTGCTCAGAGCAGGGTCTCATTGTTTTTGTACAGCACCTAGCACATGGGGATCCTGATCCTTATTGGAGCTTGTGAGTGCTACTGCAGTATAAATGTTAATAATAAAAGGTTTTTAAAAACCAAATATGGTAACTCCCCTCTATTCCATAGTAAGCATCAGGATGTACTTAATACTTAATCCTCAGATTCATAGGTTCATAGATTTTAAGGCAGAAGGGAGCATTAGTCTGACTTCCTTCATGACACAGGGCAAAGAACCTCACCCGGTAATTTCTGTATCAAGCTCATAGTCCAAATGACCATTCACCTTAATCACATCTGTATTCCAAGGGAACCCTGGACATACCTGCGCAGAAGAGAAAATATCAAAAGCTGATTTTGCCTTCAAATGTTTTTTATTTCAACTAGCTTCTTGTGTGCCAGTAGCTTGTCATTTAGGAAGCTAATTGAAATGGAAAATATGAACAGTGCACTGCCATGTTTTCAAAGGTTTGGATTTATTGCCAGTTTAGTTTAACCTTGTGACTGAATTTTAAGAGTTTTTACTAGTATGTACTCTCAATCTTAAATTCACCTTAACAAATTTCTCTGTTTACCTGCCTTTTGGTGTGAGAATCTCCTCTTAAAAAAAAAAAAAAATACACGCGCTCGCAGACACACACAAACAAACCCTAATGAGGACTAGGGGAGAGAAAGGGGTCTTACATGGTGGGTATTCCATCTTATTCCCTGAAGTCTGCAGTGAGCAGTATCCCACTTTTGGGGGGTAATTAAGATCTGAAGGAGAAGAGATTTGTTTCTGAAGCCTTATGAGGAAGTTGTGAGGGGAGCACACAGGGGTGCATTGCTCTCTCCTTTAACATGGACCTTATGAGGGCCACAAGAGACCCGTTCAGGGGAGGCTTAAGGAGTGAAATACTTCACCTGCGGTAAGTGCTTCAACCCCGTGGCAAGCATTAGAAGGCTTTTCAAAGCTGACCCAACTTCTCTGTATACTCCACAGGCAATGGGAGGTTTGTGGATCTCCTTGACCAGCCTTAGGATTTACTTTAAAATGTTAGTAACTTTCTGAAGTAGAGTTTAATAAACTAACTTTTAATCTTGGACACTAGAGCTTGGTAAGGTGAGTCCAGTAAACTAGGTTTTGTTTTTCCCTGCCTTCCTACTTTTTGGCACTTTACAGCAAAAAGCAAAAGTTAGGATTTTTTAAACCCTTTATATTTAGGGTGTTGTAATTCAGGAGCTCATGGTTCAGTGCATCTCTACCTTGACAGAAGAATTCTACCATGGCCCCAGGCTTAACCTACCAAACTTGATGTCAATAATCCATTGCGTATTTTTACACATGTGAACAAAAACAGGCTTACCATGGATCATTCATTCTGTTAAAGGTTAAAAAATTATGAGCATACAATAGTTCATAGCCTAAAACTTTTTCATGTTCTTGTCCTTTTCAGCCCCTCTGAACAAAATAAAAGAATTGTCTACACAATTCTGGAACTTTCACCACTGCTTGATTCTTCCAACATGACGACAGATGATTGGGCTAAAATTGCCAGGAATATTGAGGTACTGTAAGTGTGAATAACCTTGATAATTTTTCAGGTGATATGCTGCAGTTTAATTATTTTCACCTTCTGATAAAATAATTCACTTGTACTCTGCTCATATCATTTATATACTTATTAAAAGTACAATGCTATTCAGTATTTTACGCAGCAGACTAGACTGCTGATGACTTGTTAACTTTTGTATGCTTATAAAAAATCGATGAAAAGATACATAATAAGTAATAGTTTTGCAAATAAGAGCCAGAGAGAAATTATGCTTTGTGAAAATGTCAGATTTATTAGAAATGTTTGAGCATTTAGCTATCATTGAAATAATTTTATATAACTGATAGTTAGCTTATGCGATTTATTTTTACAAAATTATGTCAATTATAATTGAAAGAAAATAATGTATCTGAGGCTCTGTAGTACTAGTAGCATGGATGATTAAAACTGTGAAGAATGGATTAGTTTTTTCTACAAAAACAACAAGGAGTCTGGTGGCACCTTAAAGACTAACAGATTTATTTGGGCATAAGCTTTCGTGGGTAAAAACCTCACTTCTTCTTGGACACTGAAACTAGACTGCTTAGCTTCATTAGTCATTAGAACAATATTATTGTGGATGGATTTCCTACACTTGGAGAAATGTCTATGTGCACAAAAATAACTGACATTTATGAAAACAAACTTATGAAATCCTTGAATTTTGTGTGGTTTAACAAAAATTGTCCTCATCCCCCAATCTAAATCAGTTGTGTGCTTTTAGGAAGTAGATCTGTTGTGACAAAACATTGGGAAACATGAACATGTAGTTATTAATGTGCAGTCTTTTAGGAAATTATAAGTGACTTCTTGCAAAATTAATCATTATGATTTTGGTTGTAGAAAACACTATGCTCCCCTGGTTCTGTTCACCCTGCATGTTGGTGATGACATTTCAACTGGGCTTGTGTACAGTGAATCTTTTTTCCTCCACCACTAGAGTAGCACCAATGCAGCTCCACCAGCACTAGCAACTCTGGAGCACTGCTGAAAACCAGCTGCCGGTGTTGTTCCCGCCATGTCCTCTAACCCTACTTGAAGCAGGTCTAGTGACATCACTGGCTGGCCACTCCCACTATTGCTGCCACCACTGGAGCGTCACTGGTGCTGCAGCCATGAGGGGAGACTTTCAGACACCCATCCCTGTAGATTCAGCCAAGATGAACATATGCAGCCTTCAGCTCGCATTGAAATGACCTCAGTGGCTTATGTTTGACTTTTAAAAAAATATATTAATCTTTTAAAATATCAAATTGTTTATGAAGGCAGTTGCTCATTAACCCACTGATGAATGTATGTTATAGGTCTCCCTCTATGCCTGAGCCACAGAGGGTCAGAGTCTGTTATAGCCCCCAACTAGAGAGCCTTGGCTTTTTAGCTCAAGATGTACCCCTCTCGGGCTTTTAGTTCTGAAAGTCCCTGGTTCAGTCCTGTATTTCACACTGCAAAAAAAACCCCCAAAAAACCCAAAAAAACCCCACAGACATGCAGAGTTACAGCCAGCAGACTTTATATCGAAGAGCCACTTTTCTGCAAATGGGTGACTGTTTGTGAAGGATATTTGCACTCTGATTTTCACTTCTGCATGTTGGCCTCTCCCAACAGCAGTTCCAGTACAGAAGAGAGCTCAACACGACTGTATTTCTTTAAAATTGCATGTTAGCTTTTTTTTAGCTTCAGCTCACAACAAAATCTCCTTTTTCATATGAGCTTCCCTGCTTGCTTATTCTGTCAAGGAACTCTTTCCTCTCCGACGAAGCATCCGACGAAGTGGGCATTCACCCACGAAAGCTTATGCTCCAATACATCTGTTAGTCTTAAAGGTGCCACCGGACTCTCTGTTGCTCTTTCCTCTCTGTTAATCTGTAGCTCTCATTTCAACTTTCCTGTTTAAGTGCATGCTACCACAAGGTGAAGACACATAATTTATCTTGTACATTTACAGAGCATAATGGTGGCATGCTGATGACTTGTCAAAGAGACACGCTTTGTCTAAGAAATATGCATTTTGATTGTTTTCTATTGTTTTGGAGCATGAGAAAGAAATCAAGATACATATTTTGATCAGCGTGCTACTCTTAGCTTCTGTATCATCTTATTGGAAAACTGCCCAGAAGGAGGTGGCTAGTGGTGGTGGATTTGATCTCAGTCTGTGGGGTACATCCTCAAATGATGTAAATCTGCATAACTCCACTGAAGTCAATGGAACTACACCAGTTCATACCAGATAAGAATCTGGTCCTTAATGTGAAGCTAAATTAAATTTCCATCCATGTGTTAGTAACACTTAGCAGTAAAGTACAAATAAAATAGGACCCTTATAGTCTGGTTCCATGCTGAAAAATAACTCTGTAAAAATGGAATTGTGGGGTTTCACATTTGTGAATCAATGATCTTCAGATCAAATCTGCTCAGGTTACAAGTTAAAAGATGTTTTTTCTAATTGCCAGCCCTTCAAACTCAGAATTTAAGTCAAGCTATGTTCTTTCTGGCTGATACATCATTCTCAATAAAGATTCTGCCACTGAAACGTCAGTTAACTATATGTTGATGATGCACAGGCCAGAAACAAATCCAGCTCGCTCTCCCATAGCTGCATTAGTATTACAGTGCTAATGAGACTATTAAATAATAAAATTTACTTTTGTAGTGTAAGCAAATGAGACTCTGAAAAAACACAGGGAGCATATTGGTTGAGTAAGAAGGGACACATGATTATTTTTCTGATCATAGCCACAGTTTAAGCTTGGACAGTCTTATCATGACACACCACCACAGTATCATGTCACAACTTAAGTGCGGACTTTAGCCTGTTGCAATTTGGCATCATGACATGGTGCTTTGTCCCCAAAGAGATTTTTGAACCCTTTTATTTCCTGCATATTTAGCTTGCAGAACTGGGAATGGCCCCATCAGATTCTGAGTAGGTGGCAGTAGTACCTATTTGAGTATCTGTAGGCAAGTACAGAGGTAGAAATCAGCACGTGGTAGAGGAGGTGATATTATCAGATGAAATAGTAGTGCAAAACTTAAACTAATGCTTGCTTATTCTGGCAAATAACATCATTAAAAGAAATATTCCATTTCATGAAAACAAACAAACATGCTTGTGCTGACTTCCATGCTGTTGCTGGCACATGCTCAACTGAAAACCAAAGGTAAAATAGTAGTTAAAAAATGAAGACAGCAGAATTACACTAGGAAATGTCTTGTATGGACAGCTCATTAAATAGTGAGGGGTTTTGGCCTTCCTCTTCCCCCTTCCAAAATCTAGCAGATGTCTTCATTCCAACAGAATCTGCTGTGAACTGCGTGCCTTTGTACTATTACAGCCCAGAATATTATGAGGCCTTCACATTCCTTACTTTTAAAATGTGTACATGTCTTGAATAGTTCACATTAACAATAGCAGAAGTCCTTTTTTGTGAGAGCTCTTTCAGTTTGTTACTTAGCCATGGACCTACAGTAGTGACAATTTCATGCTTATTCATCTGCCTTTGTGAGAGAATCCAGATTCATAGTAACATGACCAAAGAAAAGTTAAACATCATACAATAGTTACTTCAGTGTTAACTTCTGAACGGAAGAGGGCACTCTTACACTGGCAATTTGCCTTTCTGCCAATCGGATTAAATGGGCTGGTTTTGGTGTAGTACGATCGTACTGGTTTGCCTAATCTGTTCTTGTAAATGGTGTAATCTCCAGAGTAAAAGCAGCTACAAGAAATCAGACTGTGCGACAGATTTACATATGTTAACATTCCTGTTTAAAGCCATTGCTAAACTTTTCTTAATTAGCAGTCTTGTGGTTTAAAAATGCTGCATTAATATGTATACATAGACGAATCTGTCTTTGACTCTTCCATAATTAGCTAGAAGAACTAGATTTTATGTTGATTGCCTTATTAACTCTTAATTATGTTCAACTGAAAACCTGGACTTCTCTAGGAGGAAACATATTTTATATATAAAATATAGTACTTTTAACGTATAGCAGTTAAAATTATCACCCTGCAGTAGTAGAAGTAAAGCAATATATATCTGATTTGTGTCAGCACCAGCACAGCATTGTTCTAATTCTGTTTAATGTGAAAAAATGTCTTTCCATCTCCAGAAATACTATGAACAATACGATGGTTTTGTGATCCTTCATGGCACGGACACAATGGCATATACTGCTTCAGCTTTATCCTTCATGTGTGAGAACCTGGGTAAAACCATTATTCTGACAGGATCTCAGGTAAACCTTAATTTTAGGCTGAGTTCAAATGCATTTTTATTTTAGTGTGTCTGTATGTAAATTGTCTAGTATACTGATTAACGCTATATGCTTTAGACTTGCAGGGGCAGATTCTCAGCTGGTATGAATTGTCAGTTGTCATTGATTTCAATAGAGCCATGGCAGTTCACACCAGCTGAGGATCTGCTCACAGGTTTTTTGTTGTTAGTGATTCTAGAAACGTAAGAATTGCCGTATTAAATCAGACCAGTAGTGGTTCTAGTCCAGCTGCCAACAGTGGCCAGTACTGGATGCTTCTGAGGAAGGTGCAACAAATCCTTTAGTGGGCTATTGTGTAATAACCTCTTTATATAGGAAACATCTGCCTAAAAACAGGCTGTTAGTGGTTTGTTTAAGCCCAGGAGCATGGAGGCTTATATTCCTTTATAAATTGTTATCCTGTCCTGGGTTGTTGTGTGTGGATTATTTTTGTATCTGAGTGTAGCAATCACCCATTTCTTTGTTGTGGGGGACAATGAACTTAATTTCTTCCATACTCTTTGTCCCCATTTTGAACCCTTTTATGATTGCCAGAACAGGATGCATGTGCTTCCTTGGCCACGGAGTGTCTAACATGGGATAGGAGTGGGATGCCTTATGCCCAATTTCAGAGTTGGCATGCTTCCTTTAATTTATTCATCTCCATCATCCTGGTGATTGGGCCTTACCACATTGTGTCTGAAGCTGACTTTTTATTTTGCACCAGTGTGCATTTTACACCTGCTGTTTTACCAGAATGGCCTCTGCTGTTTGTTTAAACATAAAAGTGCAACTCTAGTCTTAAAAGTGACTTGAAAAATGGTATTGTGAGATTTCATCTTTTATCTTCCAATAACTTCCACATCAAACGTGATCTGTTGCAAATAAAAATATTTATTTATTGCTAGCTCTGAAAAATGAACTTGAGCTCTGAGAAACATTCATTTTCCCAAATAATAAAGGTCCAGGCCATATTATGCTTTTATTGACACAATAGGTAAGCAGGCAGCAAGTTATGATTACCACTCCTGATTGACTAAGAATTATGCACATCTTATTATTTTGTTACCCTGTCTTCTCAACCTGCTTGTTGGTTTCATCCATCTGTTATGTTTTTTTTTCTTTTTTAGACTGTAAGCTCTTTGGTAAGCTCTATGGTTGTACAGTGCCTAGCACAATTGGACCCCAGCCTAATTGGCGTCTAGGCACTATCACAATTTTATTAAATAACAATAATTGTGTATTCCTACTGTTGTCTCTGGGTTTGTGCAGGAGAGGCAGTGTAATCTAGTGTCTAAAGCACTGGACTGGGACTCTGAAGACCTGGATTTTATTCCCAGTTTTGCTACTAATCTACTAGGTGACCTTGGGCAAATCATGTAATCTCTGTGCCTCAGTTTCTCCATCTGTAAAAAGAGGATAATGATACTTACCTCCTTTGTAAAGCGCTTTGAGAGCTTCTGATTAAATGTGCTATATAAATCTGAGTGTTGTTATTATTTATTACATGATTGACTTTGTACTTGGGACTTAGTAAAGAATTTGGATGATAAAGAAGGAATAGAATGCAGGTCACTGTCTCTAAATTGTTGGGGTCTGTAGGATTATCTGTACTGTTTACTTTATAAAAAAAAAATAAGGATTTTACTTTCATTTTTTGCTGTATTATTTACAGATCTGCCTGGCACATGAACCAGCAGCAGAGCATGCAATCTTAACTTTTGCATTGTTTAAAGTAGCTCAGACATTGGGGATGATTTTGCTAATAAAGATTCATTCTAAAAAGGCTTAGAAGTCATCATCCTTTAAGTAACAAACTAAGTCTCTACATTTAGTCTTGTCCTATTCTGTCAATAACAAACTACCTGTTCGCCTTTTATATTCAGCCAGGAAGGGTAGGGCAAATTATATCCTCAGATGATGCTATGGGTGACTCTGAATGAAGTGAGGCTGTTGCTCATCTTACTCTCTGTACACTTTTCTGCCTCATGCTTCCTCACTGAAGAATTGAATACACACATTTTCTGTTCTTGATGTTGTTGCTAACCTGGCTTTCACTTCTGAAAGAAAATATGCAGTTGCTTAATCAGACCAGAATAATTTCTTTAATGAGATTTTTTTTTAAATAAAGCTATTACAATAAGAGGAAAAATATGAAAAAGCCAATGATATATTTTATGAAAAAAATCTGTTTTACATTCAGAGGGAGAAATTCCACCATCTGCTTCTGTCTAAAATAGTTAGTTTGGATGAAGAAGTAAATCTTATTCACCGTAAATGATATAATGGGAGATTGCCTTGATTATTACATAAATTATTCATGTATTTATACTGGATTTGTATTGCATGAACTGGAATCTCTTCTGCTGTTTATATATAAGAAATGGGGTGTAATTTCAGTCTCTTCTTTTTAGGTGCCTATATATGAATTGCGGAATGATGGTCGAGCCAACCTACTAGGGGCGCTGCTGATCGCTGGGCAGTTTGTAATTCCTGAGGTCTGTTTCCCTAGTATCAGAATTTGCTTTCCTGAATTTAGTAAAACCAAATGTTTACACTTTTAAAATATATCTGTTAACCAAGAAGGAATGTGCATTGATCTTTAAAGGAACCCCGTCAAGGTTAACAGACCCCCATCTGACACAGTGCACACACTGTTGTCAGGCTTAACTTACCAGTATGTTCCTAATATATTGTATAGACTTGTCATGTCTCTGACATACTGGCGCAGTAGACTTGAAATCAAAGATTTTCATTTGCACACTGTGCTTGGAACTCGAAACAAGTAGTGGAGTGGTGGTGGAGGTGGTGGGGATAGTTAAAATTGAAGAGAAGTTTAGTACTGGTGAAATGTAGAGAATTTCTGTCTCTGTAGAGATTGTAGTGCCTGTTATGTTAATAAAGGACATCACACTCAGAGCTGTGGAAGCTTCCCCACACTGCCTCACTAATATGCTTGAAATCTGACCAGCAGAACCCACCCATCAAGCAGAGAGAGACAGTAGTTCAGTTTTCACCCTCATTCAGTCTGTCTCTGTTCTGACACTGTCAGTTTGATGTGGGTTAAGCTCAGCAGCTTACTGACCAAGATTTTCCAAAGTGACTAGTAATTTTCAGGTTTCAGAGAGGTAGCCATGTTAGTCTGTATCAGCAAAAAAGAACGAGGAGTCCTTGTGGCATCTTAGAGACTAACAAATTTATTTGGGCATAAGTTTTTGTGGGCTAAAACCCACTTCATCAGATGCATGGAGTGGAAAATACAGGA